TGCTGATGATGCACGTGATTCATTCACGTGACGTTACTGAGTAGGATGAGCTCATGAGGGTCATTTCAGGACGCCGGTTCGTCACATTGATGACAGATTTGAATCACTTACCTAAACGAGTGTGAACCATCGAGTCAGAGAGATCGGATTTGAGCAATGAGGCTTGTAATGTGAACGTAGCCTTTGTAATGTGGGTTGCGCTTCGGGCTCCCTCCCCGAGCGGATGAAACTGATGATTGAAAGAGAATTCAAAGAGAACTCAGTCAAAACCTGGTGAAGGAGCGTCTTCAGTGGATGTGGGTGAATTATCTACTATTGTCATCACATCTTCATCAGTATAGTGTTGATTTTGAGATCATTTAAGACCGAAACATCGAGCCGGACCTTCTTTTTGAGTCTGTGTGTGTGACGTTAATACATAAAGACGTATGATGTGGTGTGAAAAACTCCCGTCCCGACGCCTCTGACATTTAAATGATTATTTCAGGCTTTTCAGGGCGACTCACAGCAGCACACACTCACCATATTTTAGCCTGTTTTTATCTCCTCATTCAGTAACGATTCTTCTTTCAATTTTGACAACAAATCTTACATAGTGCAGCTTTAAACATGGTACTTTTGCTAACGTCAGGGCTAGGGCTGAACGATTTGGGGAAAATATCTAATTGCGATTTTTCTGACTATAACTGCAATTTAAATTGCGATTTTCTTTCACACTTCATTCAGGCCTGATTTGTTTTGGCCGAGAAGACGAGAACATCCACCTTTTTCTGCTTCAGGCTCGACCCCTGAACACAGCGAGCCAAACTGCCAGTAAGCTGTGGTTGTGATGTCACAACATACGGAGGTCTGGTTTAACTCATCTACAGGCAGGTCACAAGGTGGATCATTCTCAGCACTGCAGTAACACTGACGTGGTGGTGGTGTGTTAGTGTGTGTTGTGCTGGTCTGAGTGGATCAGACACAGCAGTGCTGCTGGAGTTTTTAAACACCTCAGTGTCACTGAGGGACTGAGAATCGTCCACCAACCAAAAATATCCAGCCAACAGTGTCCTGTGGGCAGCGTCCTGTGACCACTGATGAAGGACTAGAGGATGACCAACACAAACTGTGCAGCAGCAGATGAGCTATCGTCTCTGACTTTACATCTACAAGGTGGACTGACAGGGTAGGAGTGTCTAATAGAGTGGACAGTGAGTGGACACAGTGTTTAAAAAACTCCAGCAGCACTGCTGTGTCTGATCCACTTGTACCAGCACAACACACACTAACACACCACCACCACGTCAGTGTTACTGCAGTGCTGAGAATGATCCACCACCCAAATAGTACCTGCTCTGTGGGGGTCCATGGGGGTCCTGACCACTGAAGAACAGGGTAAAAGGGAGCTAACAAAGTATCAGAGAAACAGATGGACTACAGTCTGTAACTGTAGAACTACAAAATGGACCTGTATGGCCAGTGGAGCTGATAAAATGGACAATGAGCATAGAAACAAGAAGGTGGTCATGATGTTATACCTGATCTGTGTAGATCCACTATAAAGGTGTGCTGTTACCGACTCTGGCTCATCTGTTTCTGTACAGTTTATCAGCTCCTGTAACCCTTTCACTATTTTCAGATTTCTGACCACAAACCTGCTGTTGTCTTGATGTTATTTGGGTGGTCCATTCTCAGCACAGCAGTGACACTGTGTACACTTACACACACTGCAAAAAATACCATCTAATCAAGTGAAATGATCTTAATTCTAGTCGATCTATCTAATATTTCCCATTTTGAGATGGCTGTGCACTCATTATACGATTGTTTAGCTTATTTCTAGACATTTTTACCTGTTTTAGGTCATTTTTATCAAATAAATGATCTCACTATACTGGCAGATAATTTTGCTGATTTCAAGCACATTTCTTACAACAAGCCCAACGATCTGCCAATACAGTGAGATAATTATACTGAATAAAATCACTTAAAACAAGTAAAAAATGTTTGGAAATAAGTTAAATAATCTCAAAATTAAGCTTATAACAATCTCAACAGGAGAAATATTAGATTTATTGACTATATTTAAGATAATTTTACTTGAGAAGATACCATTTTTTGCAGTGCAGTGTACTGCGCTCCTCCTGTGTACACTTACAAACCCCTCTCCTGTAGCTCCACCTTGCTGCTGTACAGTTAGCGACTGTAGCTCATCTGTTGTTTGTTTTTTGTGATGGCCACCCACCGGCCCTTCATTCACTGTCAGTTTGAGACCTCTTGTAGTGTATAAGAGGCCTTTAAAGAAATAGCTGAGCACTGTGCTTACATCACCGACGAGAATTTCATGGACTTCACTCTAGCACCCTCTAGTGGCTCAGTGTTGATATTGCAAATTCTACCAATTTTTTAAAAACATTCTACTTTATTAAATGAATAAGATGTAAACAAAGACGTAAACACAAATATAGGCATTTTATTTATTATCCAAAACCTCCAGTGAACCGACACGTGTCTTCTGAGTTTTATATGGGATGTTAATGATGGTGAAATAGTGGTAAAACTTTTCTTTAGGGGCTGCTTTGCTGCAGAAAGCTATGCATTTTATTAGAAATGCTTACTTTGTGCTTCCACACACTGGCCACTTTATTAGAAACGCTTAAGTTGCGCTTCCACTCACTGGCCACTTTATTAGAAACACCTATCTTGTGCTTCCACAGAGTGGCCACTTTATTAGAAACGCTTACACTGCGCTTACACTCACTGGCCACTTTATTAGAAACACCTATCTTGTGCTTCCACTCACTGGCCACTTCATTAGAAACGCTTAAGTTGCGCTTCCACTCACTGGCCACTTTATTAGAAACACCTATCTTGTGCTTCCACTCACTGGCCACTTTATTAGAAACACTTACGTTGTGTCTCCACTCACTGGCCACTTTATTAGAAACACTTACGTTGTGTCTCCACTCACTGGCCACTTTATTAGAAACCCTTACATTGCGCTTCTACTTACTGGCCACTTTATTTGAAATGCTCATGTTGTGTCTCCACTCACTGGCCACTTTATTAGAAACGCTTACATTGCGCTTCTACTCACTGGCCACTTTATTAGAAACACGTACGTTTTCTTTAGGAACTGCTTTGCTGCACAAAGCTATTAATGTACCCCTCCACCATGAATGGATTTAAAATGTGATTTAGGCCAAAACCTTCTCATAAAACAGTGTCTCAGACATCAGGCAACGTATTCATAACCATTCATTTAATAACTTTCTGTGAGGAAGCTTTTAGAGGTGGTCATCTGGTTCCTGTCACCACCACTGTGAACAATTCTGACTGTACGTTTCTCTAGAACAGAGCATCTCACACCATCAATCTAAACCATTTATTTAATTATGCAGGGATTTTGAAAAATCATCCATCTTTAGAGGAGCAGAGCTTTGGATTTGTTTTCAATTAAATGACAATAATAAACAGTTTAACTACCATTGCAACCGCGGCAACAGGGAGGAAGTCTGGAAGCAGAAGAAGCTGGTTTAAACCTGCATGTAGTGCTATTAATGAAAGCATTAATGCTATTGACAGTGCTACAGTGCATCAAATTAGGCATGTAGGTTAGCATCACCTGTGGGAATACGAACAAGCACACGTACAACTATGTGGGAGTGAATACTCAGACAGGGTTTGTGTTTCCAGGTTTTAGCTAACTGAAACACACAGGGGGAATTAGAACGTGCTTGGCTGGTTCAGAGCGTGATTAGTGTGATTCATGTACATGTCCAGTGCCCTTGGTGTCTGTGCCAAGCACAATTACACCACTGACTTCCTGCATAAATCAATGGCCAGAGCCTGAGATTGAATTAAAAGCTGCTTGGACCGAGTCCTTTTAATCAATGAGCTCATTAATAAGTTTAGACTAAGAAGTTAAGCTTTTGCTTGCACGCTTTATTCCTATGAATTGGACTCCAAACAGTGATACTCCCCATCCGCTTATTAGAAACACTTACCCTGTGCTTCCACTTACTGGCCACTTTATTAGAAATGCCATCTTTGTGCTTCCACCCACTGGCCATTTTTTTGGAAAAACATACTTGTGCTTCCTCTCACTGGCCACTTTATCAGAAACTCTTACGTTTTGCTTCCACACACTGGTCACTTTATTAGAAACACCTACTTTGTACTTCCACTCAGTGGCCACTTTATTAGAAACACCTACCTTGTGCCTCCGCTCACTGGCCACTTTATTAGAAACACCTACCTTGTGCCTCCGCTCACTGGCCACTTTATTAGAAACACCTACCTTGTGCCTCCACTCACTGGCCACTTTATTAGAAACACCTACCTTGTGCCTCCACTCACTGGCCACTTTATTAGGAACACCTACCTTGTGCCTCCACTTACTGGCCACTTTATTAGAAACACCTACCTTGTGCCTCCACTCACTGGCCACTTTATTAGGAACACCTACCTTGTCCCTCGACCCACTGGCCACTTTATTAGAAACACCTACCTTGTGCCTCGACCCACTGGCCACTTTATCAGAAATACCTACCTTGTGCTTCTACTCAATGGCCACTTTATTAGAAACACCTACCTTGTGCCTCGACCCACTGGCCACTTTATCAGAAATACCTACCTTGTGCTTCTACTCAATGGCCACTTTATTAGAAACACCTACCTTGTGCCTCGACCCACTGGCCACTTTATCAGAAATACCTACCTTGTGCTTCTACTCAATGGCCACTTTATCAGAAACACCTACCTTGTGCCTCGACCCACTGGCCACTTTATCAGAAATACCTACCTTGTGGTTCTACTCACTGGCCACCTGATGCCAAACTAAATATACATACTGAAAACTCTAGCACCAAACATGTCTTGACTGATTGACTGCATTTGGGCTAAGAGGAAAAATAATGTAAACTGGATATTTTTCTGAACTGTGACTTCAGACATAAGGCGTTTGTCTGTGTGCGTAACATGTTTGATAACTGGTTCTTTCCTTCTCTCTGTTTCAGAATGTGAAGCGGTCAGTCACTGTGCACATGGACAACTCCTCTTCTGCCGTTCTCCCCTCTTGCACCTACAACGAGGACTTCAAGCGCTTTCTCCTGCCCATCGTCTACAGCGTCGTCTTCATTGTGGGCCTTCCGCTCAACATCGCGGTCATTCTGCGGATATGGAGCACGCGCCGGGCACTGAGCCGCAACAACATCTACATGCTAAACCTGGCGGTGGCTGATTTTCTATACGTCTGCTCACTGCCTTTGCTAATCTACAACTATGCTAGCTGGGACTACTGGCCTTTTGGGGACTTCACCTGTCGGCTAGTTCGCTTCCAGTTCTACAGCAACCTTCATGGTAGCATTTTCTTCCTCACCTGCATTAGCTTCCAGCGCTACCTGGGCATTTGCCATCCATTGGCCCAGTGGCCTAGAAAGGGAGGCCGTAGACTAGCCTGGGTGGTTTGTGCTTGTGTCTGGGTGACCGTGGCCGTGCTAGTCGCTCCGACTTTCGAGTTTGCGGCCACAGGAATCCAGAGAAACCGCACGGTTTGCTATGACCTTAGCGTGCCTGAACGTTCTGCCCAGTATGTTCCATATGGACTGGCCCTGACCTGCTTGGGCTTTCTGGTGCCCTTCCTGATCATAGTGAGGCTTTACTGCAGTATGGCGCGGGTGCTGTGCCGCCCTGCGGAAGCTAGAGGCGAAGCAGCTGAAGAAAAGAAGAGCAAAGCGGTCAAAATGATCATAATCGTGGTGATAGTGTTCGCCATCAGCTTCCTGCCGTTCCACGTGACCAAAACGCTATACCTGTTGGTTCGGACCATGCCCACAGCACCCTGCGAGCTGCGGAACCTCCTGGCCGTCATCTACAAGAGCACCAGGCCCTTTGCCAGCATGAACAGCGTGCTGGACCCCATCCTCTTCTACTTCACACAGTCCAAGTTCAGAAAAGGCACACGTAGCCTCCTGCTCAAGATCAACACGCTTAGGGAGAAGATCGGCTGAAGCGATAGGCCAAAAATCTCATTTAAACAGTTTTCCCATTACCCAAAAAGTAGTTAATCAGCTAAGACATGTTTGGTGTCTGAAGTTTGCTTCCTTAGTTTTGCACTGGAGCTACAAGGCTAATGTAGCTAACAAATAATGGAAGCTAATAGTCACCAAACCGCATACCAAAATCACAAATGTATACTTTTGTCCTTTTTTAAGGACATTATGTGCCAGAAAACATATTAGCATGATTATTTAAAATCATTAACTTGGTTTTGAAGCATGTGTTTGATGACTCAAGCATGCAGTTGACACAAAGCTAATGACTATAAACTCTCATTTGTTGGCTATGTTAGCATTGTAGTTTCACCTGAGAAAAGCCTGTGTGGGTTTGACACTTTATGACCTAATATAATTATGATATATATATATATATACACCGATCAGGCATAACATTCTGACCACCTCCTTGTTTCTACGCTCATTGTCCATTTTATCAGCTCCACTTACTATATAGGTGCACTTTGTAGTTCTACAGTTACAGACTGTAGTCCATCTGTTTCTCTGCATACTTTGTTAGCCCCCTTTTACCCTGTTCTTCAGTGGTCAGGACCCCCATGGACCCTCACAGAGCAGGTACTGTTTGGGTGGTGGATCATTCTCAGCACTGCAGTAACACTGACGTGGTGGTGTGTTAGTGTGTGTTGTGCTGGTCTGAGCGGATCAGACACAGCAGTGCTGCTGGAGTTTTAGAGAAGGCTTACCAGTAATAGTGACGGTTCACCACAGCATATTAATATCTATAAAAATGTACAAAAGTATAAGTTTGTGATTACTGGTATGCGGTTTGGTGGCTTTAAGCTTATATTACTTATTAGCTACATTGGCCTCGTAGCTCCAGTGCAAAACCAAAGAAGGAAACTTCAGACGCTGGTCAGCTAATGGAATAACATTTGGGGTAAGGGAGGGAAACCATGGACATTTGGTTTTTGGCCAGACCATCTATAAGTGGGAGAAGGACACAGCTCGTATCAGAGCTTCTGGGCTAAAGGAACTCCAAAATTCCAGCCCAGAGAAGTATGGGTTCCACTTATGAGTCTTGGTTCCTTTCAGTGATTCCTCCTCATACTGAGTTTTTCCTGATATTCTGTCTGGGTGATGCCCATTAGGGGGCGCCCACAGCACCCACACTTCTGGACAAGCTGCTTTGGGACAGTGAATATCTTGGCATTATCTTGAAAACATCTGAAATCTAGTCAGTATATCTAGTGTGTCTTTTTGTGATACTGTTGTGAGAATATTATGAAATTTATCAACATATTTCTAGGTGTTTTTATTAAGTCATTTTATCTAGAGAAAATGTCATTCCATGGGCTGACCATTTTTTGAAATGAGCACATAATTAGACAATTTCATCAGATAAAACGTTAAAACAAGTAAAAAATATCTAGAAATGAGTTGAATAATCTTATAATATTCATACAGCAATCTAAAATAATCCACTTGCCAAGATATTTTTTTTGCAGCGCGAACATGAAGAGAACGAGCAATAAAAAAGCTCAAGTGAGATTATTGTAAGCTTAAATGAACGAGTTTCATAAAAGTACAGTGAAACATATCATATCGCTGTTGTCGGAACAAAACCCAGTATCTCCAAAATGGCAACTTTACAGGAGAAGGAAAAAACATACTTTACTTTTAATGGAAGTCAGTGAAACCAGACTTATTTCCAAGTCATTTTGGGCCGTTTCTTTTAGTCCGTTCGTCTTGAATTTTACATACAAAGTAAAGAGCAACAGGCATTTTCAAATTACGTCACAAACTGAAAAACGACAAAAAACAGAGATATGAGGTTTTGTTCCGACATATTGTAACGGTCACTCTTTAGATCCTCACTACCATTTTTTGAGTTACAGAAACAGTGACAGTAGCAAGGAAGCCAAGAACAGTGTATGTAGTCATAGACGAATGCTGGTTTTCCAGCAGATTGGAGTGGCATAACTAGTAGGTTTGGGTCCCAGTGCAAAATGGGCCACTCATACAAAAATGATTTTCAATGTAATTCGCTTATTCACTCACTAATGTAATGTCTCAGAGTTCACCTAACCTAACATTAAGCACCTACACTCTCAGAAATAAAGGTACTAAACTGTCACTGGGGTGGGACCCTCAAGGGTCCATCTCAGTACCTTCAGTCAGGGAACATAACTGAACCATAATCCACTGAAATGATATTTTCTAAGCTGTACTGACTCCACACACCCCGTCTCGTCTCCAGGCTTTTATTTTACTGTTCTGTTTTAAAACATTCAGTTATGAAAAGGTACAAATACGAACTTTTCACCTGGAAACACTTATTTAAGGTTCACAATCAGACCTTAAAACCACTGTTGGACCTTTGAGGGAACATTTACATCATTTATACCTTGATGAACGAAAAATGTACCTGAACAGAACCTTTATTTCTAACAGTGTAGTGTTAACCTGAATGTTTACTTTAAATAATGAATCGTGTGAGTTGTATGCAAAGGTTTGTGCACCCCTAGTGAAATTACGTTTTGATGATTTTCCAAGTGAAAAGAAGTTCTACAGTGCAGATTTTAATGCACCAAAACTTTATTTGCTGAATTTATCATATGTTGAAAAATTAATACAAAACACAAAATGTGGCCTGTGCAAAAGTTATGGCTATAAAAAAGTTATATTTTATGGGTTTTTTTTTCCAACTCATTAAACTCAGCAAACTGTGGACTTCGATTTGCAGGAGAATGCCTTGTTTAAGTGTGTTCCTGTAGAGGATGTGTTAACATGTTTTCACTTAGAAAATCAACAAAACAAAGAAGTTTGAAATTCAGGCATGGGACTGTATGACGTGGCAGGTTTTGAAGGATCTGTTTGAAAACAACATGCACAGTCTGCTCTATGAATAAGAGCGTAAACAGATAAACAGGCATTTCTTCTGTCTGTTGGTATTTTGTTAAGAAATTGGATCTTTCTGTCTTTATAAGGCACCCAGTTAAGATTTCAGTGTTGAAGTGGGCCTTCTCTGCACTATCCCACTGGCTACTCCACTGGATTCGAGAAATTATTCTCCATTCCCAAAAGACTTACTTCTGTAACAAGGCATCCACATGCCTTGTAATCAGCATCAATGCAAAATCTCACTCACCTTTCATTATGGCTCCATTATTTCCAACAGTCAGGCCTGAGCACGCCTGGTGGAATAGGCTGAAGAAGTGATGAAGTAGTATTGAACTCTGTGTTTGTACAAACTGTGCAAAATACATGTGAATACTGTGCAGAAGTGACAGATTGCAGCCACTAGGTGGCAGCTTCTACCAAGAAAGCCTTTGTTTCGGTGGCAGTGCAGCTGTTTTTTCTGTACAGTAAACTGTGGTTAGCTGCTTCCGACTCGCACCGCTTTAAAGGGAAAGTATTTATGCTCAGAGCAATATTTCAGACACCACAGAAGTGGTTTCTCAAGCTCTGTTTAAAGGAAGTATTTATATCATGAGAAAACGCAGCTGAAAGGATGAAGTTGCAACAAGCAGGCCTGCCGCACAGCGCAGCGTGCCAAATCCCTGAATTATAGTGTGTCCACGAAGACATGATACAGGAATCTGTCTGTATTATATGGGCGTCATAAATTACCCTTTTTTGTTTTGAGCCAGATCCCAGACTGAAGATCCTTCCACTGGCACCATAACAAATGTATAAATTGTGTTAGACTGAAAATTTTTGCTAATCCTCCTGTTATCCTCAAATTTATGAACATCTTTTATCTTTGGGGTCAGTTTGACCACAGGAGGTCAAACCTCTGGGAAATATCAGAGTTCTGATGGGTAATTATGTTTCCCCTCCCCCTGTATGGTGTGAACTACTGGTTCTCACACTACTACAGGTGTGAGTATGTTAGATTTGGGCCCTAAAGCAGAGGAATGTTTTAGAAGATTATAAAAGTGCATGTTATAGTGATCAATATCATCCAAAACAACCAAAACAAATGCGTGTAAAATGTTGATATCTATGGTTTATACAGTTAAAACAGTCTGGGGTCAAACTGACCCCAAAGAACACCAATGAGTACAAAATGTCCATTGAAAACATATCATGATGTTAATTTTACGTGTACTCAGTTCTCCCCATTAAATTAGGAAAAGTCACTAAATATGAAGCCAAAAGTGATGTCAATCATTTATTTAGAGATGTTAAACACTGAACTGGGTCAAACTGACCCCAAATATAATAGGAGGGTTAAATGGTGCATATGCAGATGTAAACATATGGAAGCCCATTTCTCGCAGATTCTGTTTTAGGCCAACATATTGACTTAGTATCTCTAAATAAGGCTTATTTTCTCATAACTTTGCATAAGCATCTCAAAATAATGATCTCCAAATAGTGACTACCTCAATTCCAAGTAAGTAAGTAATTAATTTGGGATAGTAAGTCATTTCAAAATACTACACTGTTTTGTGCAATGCCGTAGAAGAACCAAATTTGGTTCCCTAAAGCATGAGAAGAACCTCTTTAAAGTTTAACGAGCCTCCAAAAAAATGCAAAGATTTTTGGAAGAGCACATAAATTGGTAGAGAAGTTTTAAACTATGTGAAGATTCTTTACACCTTAAAACCTCACACATTTACAAAAAGGTTCTTTGGGAAAGTTCTTCTACGACATCGCTCAAAGAACTGTATTTTTGGGCCTTTTTTAAATGTAGTTCAAGATTTTGAGAAATTAAATTATTATTTCTACCTAGTAAGCCATTATTTCCGGATACTAAGTAGCTGTTTTGAGAAAATAAGTCATTATTTTATTATTATTATAAAATTTACTGCACCAAAAAGTTGGCAAACTGCTGCCAGAAACAGAGAAGGAAAAAAAAAAAACATTGGGCCTCATTCTCCAGTGTCTTCTTAAGTTTGCTCTTAAATGTGTTCTTGAGAAAGATCTGAAAAAGTCTGTCAGATTCATTTTGTGCTCTTAAACCGCAGAGTTGTTCTCACCTTTGTGCTCTTGAGTGTGTGGATTCTGTTCTTACCTAAAAACAAGTCCCAAAACAAGAAAACTCTGGTGAATGTCAAGAAAACTGAGTAAGTGGGTTTTAAGAAGAAATGAGAATGAGGCCTGTTGCCTGCAATGGGCTTCCATATAAATGTCTGTCAGTTTACTGAGGGGTTAAAGTGGACGATGCTATAAACAGCGCATGTGCTGATGTAGAAATGATGCTTCTCCTAAACCAGCAAACCCATAAATGTAGCTTTTGGAAAGGCATTTATATTGTGAATTCTGAATGTCGTAAGTGCTGCATTCTGATGATTTTCTTTCTCGGCCTGCAAGAATGTGACGTTTATGTGTAAAGCTGAACTGCGTGTGTTCCTGCAGCTTTGTGAAGTTGTAAAGGTTATGGCTGAAGGAACAAGCTTGTGTATTCGCTTATGTGTGCTGTGCATACGTGTAAATTGTTCAGTGTGAAAGTGTTATAGACAACAGGCCTGATTAATGTATCTCAGAGGGCTGTAGGGCTGTAGGCCGGGTCTGCTGTCATGTTCTTTCTTTGCTCTTTTTTGTGACCTTGACTTTCATAAGGCACTGCACACTATCGCAAAGTATTACAAATCAATAAATATCAAGCTTAAAGATTTTTGTGTCGTGTGTTTTGTTGTGTTTGTATGACTCAGTGCTAAGAAAGACTTTCAAAGGGCAATTCCACCAAATTTTCAAAACTTCTGTAAACAGACTCATTCAGAGTGGTTTGGTGTGAAACGCTCTGCTGTAGAGAAACTAACAGTCAGAATTGTTCACAGTGGTGGTGATAGGAACCAGACGTCCACCTCTAAAAGCTCCCTCACAGATAGTTATTACATGAAATGGTTATGAATATACTGTCTAAATCCTGAAACATTGTTTTAATATTTAAGTTTTAATATTAGATTTTGGCATAAAACATGTATTTTTTAAGTCCATTCAAGGTGGAGGGATACAAGGCGTTGTGTAGCAGAAAGTTTCCAAAAGAAAACATTTTTTTTTCAGATTTATCACTATTTTACCATCAACAACATTCCATATAAAAACTCAGAAGACACATATAGATTCACTGGTGTTTTTGGAGTTATAAGTTATGACATTTAATGGTTGTCTTATGGATGTTGTCCTGTGTCTGACATTGTTTTATGACACTTTTGTGAAAGTCTTGGCCTAAAACATATACATATTTTTAAAAAGCCCTTAATGGGGGTTCATATAAGGCATTATAAGCCAACATAGTCTGCAAAGAAAACTTCTATTTTAGATCTATGACTATTTTACCATCATCATTATATATAAAAACTCACCAGTGGTTTTGGATAGTAAATAAAATGGCTACATTTGTGTTTGTAGACCCCTGTTTCCCATTTCCACCACTGTCTAAATCTAAATCTGCAAGTTCCTCAACAATGGATCACTTCACATCACACTGGCTTTACTTTTGTGCAGAAATTTTGAAATATTGGTGGAGTTCCCCTTCAAAGCAGCTGAAGCACCACGTGAGAGCGCCGTACACCATATTTCATGTGTCTGGAAGCTCTGAAGGGGTTTGAAAGCAGAGCAAAGAACACGTCCACGTTACTAACAAGTCAACACAGAGGTGAAAAGTGCCCTAGATGGAAGAACAAACCAGAAACCAAACATAAAAGCAATTTAATTACTTGGAAATAAAGTTTTCAGTTGAGAAACGCTACAAAACAGCGTCTGCTCTGATGTTTATTCACCAGTATGACTATCTGGTCCATATCTGAAATATCTGCCTCACATCAGAGAGGAAAAGCCCCCCCCCCTATCATTTACCCCAGGGGCTCTGACCACATTAAGCCCCTCCCACACTCGAACCGAGTGTTTGCATGCAAAAAAAAGAGAAAACAGAAGTCAAAGAAGGCTTCATTATGGACAAATAAAGAAGTGGCCGTCAAGGATGAGTTTAAAGACCCCGGAAAGGAGATGGGCTTTGTTTTGGAGATCGTGCGTGATGCCAAACTTGTTGGGGTGCCTTCAGGGTTGAACAAGTTGGTTGAGGAAGGACAAGGAGTTTTCTGGTCCACTCTTTGGAGCTCTTTCTCCCTTCTCCGTGCATGGAAGTTAAGGGGAGTTGGAGCTGGGCAAGGAGAAGACATGCTGGAAGGTCAGGAGGCAGCTTTCTCTCGCCTGAGGTAAAGCAAGTCTTTACGCTCTTTACGCGCGTATATTTCTGCTTTTTGCGCTTGCGTGTTTTTTCCTCTCTCCCCTTCTGGAAAGCAGAGCCAACAACGCGTGGTTAAATGGGGTCATTATGGTAGGCTGTAAGTAACCACGAAGAAAGAAAAAAAAAGCTGTGGACTATTTATCAATGAACTACAAAAAGGGAGGGAAATAAAACAGAGGGAGGACAGACAGAGGAACGCAATGGCAGGGAAGGAGACGCAGAGCAAGGCGTCTGTTTATCGTTCTGTCTCTCGTTCTGTCTCTTTCAAAAAGCTGGAAAGCTGGAACGTAAATAAAAGTGGAGCCGAGGACCAGCAACACCACAAATCAGAGGATTTAGAAAGCGCAGCCCTTCCCCCTCAGGCAGCCGAGACAGCAGGCGAAAAAGCACAGCCCTCGGACACGCCGAGTGTTGCTGGGGCAAGAAAAGTTTCCAAAATCTCAGCAGCCAGCCTCTCAACCGCAGAGCTAAAGACAGGCTCCACTCTCACGGCTGCGCCCTCAGTCCGCCTGCTCTCTGAGAAGTTCAGGGCTGGGAGCTCAACAGCAGGCAAGTCTGCAGCCCGGATTAGGACAGATGATTCCCCTTCACGGGACCCTAGATGTTTACCTGATCAGAGCGGAGACCCTGTAGATCTTCCCCCAGCTGACAAGCCAGCCAAGGATCATAAATATCATTCGGCTCAGGAGTCCGTGTCTGGCTCAGATTCAGACAGAGGTCCGAGACGGAGGGTTCGAAAGACCGTGGGCGCAAACCCAGGTAAGAGAGGCTCTTCTGAAATCTCTGATAGCTCTGCCAACTTTAACACCTTGAATTCAGAAGATGATGTTTTTGTCTTAGGGGCTCCGGCGTACAAGTCTCATCGCAGCTATCGCTCTTCGTATGGTGAGGCCGTTTTCGTTGACTCAAACTGGCCGAGCGTTACCAAAATTAGAGAGCTGTTTGGGGACAGTCACAGAAAGCAGCACAGGTCAACGTCAGACGCAGACGACTTGAAGTTGGCCGGCCATCACCTCCATTCCTTCGACGGCAGCGCCTCTTCGGACAGAAGCGGTAGACAGTCGCCGCTGCCAAGAGGAGCCTGGCAGGATGCGAACAGCTCCGATTATGGGGCTGGCAGACTGTCTGCGGACTTACTAAGCTGTAAGGAGAAAACATGTCAGGGAATGGACTCTACTTTTAGCACTGAAAAGTATTCACGTGATGATCTGAGCTGTGTGAAGGAAAGAAAGCAGTCGTCAGATAAAAGCGGAGCGGAGAGCCACAGAAGTGGCAGAAAGGGAGCCGAGAGCTGGCCAGGAAGAGTGGACGGTGACCCCAAGCCCTCTCCCCCAACCCCCCCACCTCGCAGTAGCTCAGTCGCCTTGCCTCTCAGGTCCCGCTCGTGTGCTTACCGCGAGCAGCTGCAGGAGCAGAGGCAGAGGGCAAAGCAGCCGCAGCCACCAGATAGTTTGCATTCCTCACATAGCTCCTCAAAACCACACAAGGGCCCCTACGTGGAAGTGGAACCGGCCAGCGCTCGCGGGAGAGTGAGCTCCGGAGAGGAGGAGGAGGAGGAGGAGGAGGACGAGTCTGGAGGACAGTCAGGTAGAAACACACTCTCGTTTGTTGGCAGCAGTGGAGGAACTGGCACACACTTCTCCCGGAACAACAAGCATGGTGCCTGGGCAAAGCCACTGCGAAGGTCCTCGGGCAGTGAGGAAGATAGTCCTGCAGGTTTAGCTCATCACAGCAGGGACATCAGACGTCGTTCTTTGAGGAAAAAGAAGAAAAGCAGCTGCAGTAGAGATAATGGAGGGTCAGATGATAGTGACGACCAGCCTGTGATGACGGAGCATCTGGAGCGCCACCAACAGTCCTGCGAATCACAGATGGAGGGCCGCAGGCTTGAGGGCCTCCGGTCTAGGGCCTGTTTTGGTGGACAAACGTGGGAGCGAGGGCACCCAGCTCAGGGTTCCTCTGTGGTTCAGGACACTTACAGGCGCCTATATAAAGCATCTGAGGGACAAGTTGGAGCTAGCCACATCCCACTCGTCTCACGGGTGTCCAAGGTAACCATCCCCTCATTTCTTTTAAGTCCCTTGGGGTCACGGAGTAGCAGCAGGTATTCCAGTACTGAGACCCTGAAGGAAGAGGATCAGCCACCTGGTGTTCCCAGTGCCTCATCCTCTGTTCTAAGCAAAACATATCATGGCAATGCGACTATGTACCGCTCACCTAGTTTTGGCCATGGAGACAACTTTTCTCGCTCCCCTGTCCGTGTTCGACCTAGGCTGGTGCCTGGCTTAAGTCCAGGAGATTGTGTCCCCGGTGTCTCAGAAAATAGACTGTACCGCCATTCTGTCACAAATGAAAAGGAGAAGGACAGAATATCAATGTCGAATCCTGACATTGCTTCAGAAACACTATCACTGCTTAGCTACCTGAAAACAGATTTGTCAGAGCTGAGGATGAAGAGGAGAGGACGAGATGGTGAGGAAGGGCTGAACTCCAGCTTTCAGGGTGTTCAAGGAACGTCAGCTGTGTACAGAATGGGCTCCAGAACCACCGGGCTGAATGCTAGAAGGCCCTCACTGAAAGATCTCACTGCCACTTTGAGGAGGGCCAAGTCCTTCACTTACTCAGAGAAGCCACTAGGGCGGTGCTATTCTGGGAGTGGGTCAGCTATGAGGAGTTCCTCTGAGCAGAGACTGGATTGTGAAGGGGATGGAGATCGAGTAGTGGTCTCTGACAGGGAGGTGGAGAGTGATGATTGCAGAGGTGGCTATGGCTATGATGAGCCCATGCCGACCCCTCTACAAGACCGCTATGTTCAAGAAGCAAGACAGGTTATAAGGGATATTTGCAAGATGAGTGCTAGCAAGGATGAGGACGATGAAGATGATGAAGGTTTCAAAGGAAAAGAGAGTTTTGTCCTGGAGGAAGATGGTAAAGAAGCAGAAAAAACAAAGCAACTGGAGAAGAAGGATGACCAGAGTGTAGTCACTCAGTTCAAAGAACAGTCTGACAGAGAAAGTGAAGAATGCTTACCGAGGGGAAACTCAGAAGAGAATGTGTTCTATGATAAGTCACTGGACGAGCTCTCTGGACATGAGTCCAGTCTGACAGATGAAGGAATAGTCACAGAGCCGGAGGCTGGAGGGCCGTCCTCTAGCACAGACCTGCTGGGCCAGACGCTCACTGTTTGGAATCAGTCTGGACTGTATGAGGAACAGTTGGCTGACATGACACCGGAGAAGTCCCTCTCTGTTCCAGCCCCGTCTGTGCGGACAGAATATGAGGCAGTAGCCATTGGAGGAGACATAAACATCAGTAAAAACGTCAGCCAGGCAGCTCTAGAGGCTCCTCCGACTCCCAGCGCTCTTAGAAGGCGGAGAAAATTCTCTTCAGCCGGCAACAATGGCTCGGACTCCAGCAATGGAAGTAACGGGGAGTCAAACGGTGAGTCTGCTTACCGCTCTCTCAGTGATCCCATGCCTCGACGTCGCTCTGTCACAGAGGACGCCAGTAATGGCTTCTCTGTGGACAGCAACTTGCTCGGCTCGCTCTCTATAAACTCCAAGGTGGGAGTTGGTGCGGACTCCTCCGCGGCAGATCTGTCTGAGTGCACCGGCAGTGCAGCCAGTGACCTTTCTGTGTGTAGCGACGGTCTGAGGGATTACAGCACTGTGATCCAGAGCATTGTGCACGAACCTGGTGCTATGGACAAATTAATCGATGAGAAGGCAAACGGAAAAGCAGTGAAGAAGAAAAGCTTCAGTGACCCCAGCAGGCGTGGAGAACTAGCCGCTCCAACTGCTGAAGTCCAGAAACACCCGAACGAACCTATTAACGAGACGGAGCAGTCCATCCCACCTTCCAGCAGTGAGCCGATCCTCTCGGAGCAAAGAGATGAGCTGTGGGAGCTGAACAGTGAACAACGACAGGCTTACACTGGCAGAAGATCTCGATCCCAATCAGAACATGTTCTGCCCTCTCATCTCGACCGTAATGGAGATGCTAAAGCGGACAGCGAGGAGTCCAGTTTCTCCTTCGACCCAAAGCTGGCCCAGGTGTTGTCGCCATGCATAAGTCGCAGCAGCTACAAGAAGCGCACTCTCCGGGTCACGCATCAGCAGTCCTGCGATGATAGGGATCAGCTAGAGGAGCAGCAGGAGGACCAGGCCCTTGAAGATCGTCAGGACGACTCCACGTCCATCCTGCCTCAACTCCCACCTAAAATCAGGCCCAAACATGTGCGCCATGCTAGCGAACCAGCCACTTTTGTGCCCGTTACACCCACTAACACCATCCAAGACCGACAAGGTAGCACTTTTAAAGCTTCTGAACATTCAAGGCCTTCAAAACACAGCCAAGGGGAGGGAACCCCCTCCCTTGAGGATGTGACGGAGCAGTATATCCTGGCCTTGAACCCACCTGAAGGGGCTTCGGATGCCCCTGCGTCCTCTGAAGACGCTGCGGCAGAGGGTACCAGATCCATTCCTGCAACTCCAACCTCGACCACTGAACCTAAACTTCAGAGGAAGTCCAGCGTAGAGCTGACCCCGGCCCCACTTAAAGCCAAGCCTCGAGTGGTAAGTCCCATGTTTTCCTTTCTGTCTGCTAGCTGGTGTATATTATGCTGGTATGTGACTGTATGTATGAGTTTGTGCCTGTTTCTCAAGACGGAAAGCGCCTTAAACTGAAACAGCCGTCTGTTTTGCCTGATTGAAGCCTCTAAATTGAGGATGAAGCGGGCCGAGTTGTTTTGCATTGTCCTAGCATTTGTTTCAATTAGATGGAGCCCTCTGTAATGATGTGCAGGACTGCATTAGACCAAAGATAGGACAGATAAATCTTTCTGAAGAAAACTTGGAAGGACTTTCAAGTGTGTGTTTTACTTCTGGGTGGTTGTCCATGTGTGCACACATGTCTGACAGTCTCCATTTGCGAATCACTTGACATGTTGTTGCCTTGGATTCCAGCGAAGTGAATTTATGTCTCGAGATTTGTTTTTGTCTCGAACGTGATTGAAAGAGCAGATCCAAACAGTGTTTCTAAGAAAATTCTTATTTGGTCTTGGGCCATGTTTCTTTTCCTTTCTACCCAACCTTACTCAAAGGCCGCGTCGGGGTCTGTTTGTATGCGTTTGAGTGCTTGGCTGATGGAGAAGTCATGTGCATGCATTCTTTCTTGGCATGTTTTTTTTATAGAGATTGTTTTATCTCCTTGTGTGTGTAATGATTTTAGCTCAGAGATCAGTTTGATTTAGCATTTCTAAAAGTTCCAGTTTGCCCAACTGACCCGACTAATAAATATCCTCCATGTATTTCATATTTAAAAGGGCAGTATACTTTAGTGTACGCACATCGTGATTTATTATAAAGTGTAACACATATTTAGTAACCAATGTCCTCTGTATCTGTATCGTCAATCCACTTTAGCACTGTTGCTATTTTTAAAAGGTCTCAATAGGCCTTGCTGTCCTGTAGTGCACCTTTTATGGCTCTGTATTTGCTCCAGATTTTGTTAGTGCTACACTGCCCTTGATTCTCTGTGGTTTGTTGAGTTTCAGGCTGCTGTTTGGGTCCGGGTGATACTGGCTGATTATGTGACGGGTGCAAATGAGTTTACTTGATTGACAGTGTGTTAGTTTGCCTGAAGCTGAATCAACATTCCTGGGCCTTTCATTTTTAATCTTCGTCTTTTTTTTTTTTAAAATTAGGAGTCATTATGAAACACACAGCAGGGGGAAATGCCTTCCTGGCCTCGGCTTTCAGCTCTGATAATTCAGTCTAATTTCAGTCATCATTCATAGCAGGCTCAGGACCAAGGCTCGCTCGCTCGCTCGCTCTTGTGCGCTCTCTCTCTCTCTCTTGTGCTCTTCTCTTTCTTTCTCTCTCTTGCTCTTGTGCTTTCACTCTATCTCTCTCATGCTCTTTTCTCCCTCTCTCTTCTGTCAATCTCTTTCTCTCAAATCACTCTCCCTCTGTTCTCTCTCTCCATGTTCTCTCTCTTTTTCCTCTCTCTCTCTCTCTCTCTCTCTGTTCCATCTCTCTCCATGTTCTCTCTTTTTTTCCTCTCTCTCTGACTCTGACTCTCTGTTCCATCTCTCTCCATGCTCTCTCTCTCTCTTTCTCTTTCTTTCTTACCTTCCTGTTTTCCTCTCTTACTATTCTTTTGTTCTCTCTCTCTCTTTCTCTGTTCTGTTCCATCTCTCTTCATGTTCTCTCTTTTCTCTCCCCTCTCTGTATGTCTCTCTTTTTCTGTCTCTCTCTATTCTGTTCCATCTCTCCATGTTCTCTTTTTCCCCCTCTCTCTCTCTCTCTCTCTCTCGCTCTCTCTCTCTCTCTCTCTCTCTCTCTCTCTCTCTCTCTCTCTCTCTAAATGCATACATTGTGCGGAATTAAGTGCACCCTCTTTCTTTAGCTGTTAGCCTCAGGCTCAGGCTGAAATATATACAAATATACAGTGACTTACATCTACCTTGTACCTGCACTCATTGGCCGTTATATCAGAAACACCGCCTGCATAAGTGCCAGCACATACGCTACCATGTTGGTGCCACTGCCGTGCTGAGAATGGTCCACCACCCTAAGAATATCTGGTCAGCAGTGGTCCTATGATGGTCCCATTCCATTAAAGGAAACCTACAGAGTGCATCTATATGGTTGGAGTTTCTAATAAAATGGCCAGAGTGCAGATACAAGGTATGTCTTCTAATAAACTGCCAATTTTATAGTTCAGACATTCTTTTCACATCTCTTGGTATGATATTAGACTAAAATGAGTCTGTCTGTCTGTCTTATCATGTCATTTCATTCAGTGTCTGATGACAGTGGGGCTGCTTTGCTCTGTACTGCATGTCCAAAAGTTTGTAGACACCAGTGTTTCTTCTGAAATGAAGGGTCTTAATAGTGAGTTTGTCTCTGTTTGCTGCAGTAACAGCCTCTACTCCTCTGGGAAGGCTTTACACTAGATGTTGGAACATTGCTGTGAGGATTTGATTAAGCATTAGTGAGGTCAGGTACTGATGTTGGATGATTCTGGATCACTCAGCTCATCCCAAAGGTCTATAATGAATAGAGCAACAGAACATTACACAGAAATCTCAACAAGTGAATATAATATCATATTTTCATTATTTATTGTGTCCAGTCTTTACCTTTATTCCAGCTTCCATTCTTCTCAGGAGTCTCACTTTCAGTTCCTCAAAGAATCTGCAGACACACCTCAAGCTCAGTCTTAGAAGCTGGTTGATCATTTTCTGAAGTAATCAAACACATTCAGTGATGTTGAGGTCTGGACTCTGGGGTGGTCAGTCCATCGTTCAGCTTCTTTGTTTGATGTGTCCGTCTCCTTTTCTCAGTGAGGTTCTTCTTGACAGCTACACATCCTTTCAGACCCACAGCGCTGAGTCGTCTTCTCACAGTGGAAGGATGGACAGAAACACCTGTGGATGTTTTCAGATCTGAAGCAGCTTGATTTTCTCCTCTCTCTCAGAGACGAAAGCTTTCAGTGCTGTTTATCTGATGGGGGCAGTTTTGGTTTCGACCAGGTCTTCCAGGTGGTTGTTAGGAGCCCCATTTTCTCTGTAGCTTTATATAACCTCAGTTTTGGAAACTCCTGTTTGTTTTTCCACTTATTTTCCTTTGACTTTCTTCTTTCTTATACAAGTGGATTATATTATATCTAATCTCTTCAGTAATATATCATGAAAAATGAATAACTTGTACTTACTGGCTGGAAATTAAATTAATTGCTTGGACATATTGTTTATGGTATTATGGATGTTTATGTTGTTAAAGGCAAAAGTGAGTATTAGCACTGAAAGTCGTCTCAGCCTTCAGGATGAAAGGGTGCAGAGACCTGGTATTTGCCTTAACTCGTGTTTGCGACCACAAAAACTGGGCGTATGTTTGACGAGCACCCTGTTTTTAACATTACTGCTGTATGTGAGGGAGAAAGTGGGAGAAAGAAAGGAAGGGGGAGCGTAGACCTGCTGGCTAAGCATTCCTTAAGGGAGTGTGTGACGCAAGGGAACAGCGTGCACACCCAAACACACTCCACAGCACATGTGTCTGAGCGGAGAGAGGGACACGCCCTCAGCCTGGGAGCACTGGGTGGGAGGAATGTGTGAAAATGGCCTTTTATGTCAAGAGCTCGGCCTGTTTTTCAGAAGGTTGGGATGAGGGTGAAATCAGGTGGATGTGAAGGACTGAGGGGGAGGGAATGAAAGGATGTGGTGTTTTTTTTTTTTATTATTTAATTGGTGGAAGTAGTGCTGGGCTTATAAGTTCTCTTTACCAGTAATTTTTATCCCTAAACATATTTATTTTAAGCTTTAACAGTATTGATGTTCACATAGTGTTTTTTTTTTTTTTAATTCTATTTTGTACACTTTGTCCATGTTATCTAAGAATTCCACCTATTTTTTACATAATAAAATGATTTGGGTCTTTCAGGGTGGTTTGGTGTGAAATGCTCTGTTCTAGAGAAACTTACAGTCAGAATTCTTCACAGTGGTGGTGATAGGAACCAGATGTCCACCTCTAAAAGCTCCCTCACAGAAAGTTACTACATGAAATGGTTATGAATTCACTGCCTGATGACTGAGACATTGATATTTTTGAAAAGGTTTTGCCCTAAAATATATTTTTTCTAAGCCCTTTCTGGCAGAGAAGTGTTGTAAGGCAAAGAAAACATAATTTTCAGATTTAGCACTATTTTACCATCAACATTCCATGTAAAAACTCAGGTTCACTGGTGGTTTTGGATAGTAAATAAAATGGCTATATTTGTGCTGTAGCCATGGCGACCCCTGGTTCCTATTAGTTATTATTGGTTGTGAATGTGCTGTTTGGTGCCTGATTCATTGTTTTGAGTTGACATCTGCGTGAAAGTTTTATTCATGGTGGAGTGGTACATGCAAGACCTTGTGAGGCCAAATAGTCCCTAAAGAAAACATACTTTTTCAGATTTATCACTGTTTTACCATCATCAACATTCCATATAAACTCAGAAGACTCGTGTCGGTTCACTGGTGGTTCTGGATAGTAAATAAAATGTCTATATTTGTGTTGTAGTCATGGCGACCCCTGGTTCCTATCACCACCACTGTAAAGACATCCGAACCATTTCACACCAAACCACTCTGAATGACTCTAAGTTATGCAGAAATTTGGATAAATCAGTAAAATTTCAGCTAAACTGCAGTTTGTCATCAAATCCATACAGTCAATACATACGACAAAGCAGCAAAAATAGCCTGTTTTGAATGAATGTTTTTATCACTATAAAAGTACTTGCATACATTTGCTCATTCAGCCTACAGCACTGTAGCTCTGTCCATGTATGAGTGAAGACAAATTGATCAAACATTTATTGATTTCCCCAATACACCCTTTAAACGTCCCATATTTCAAGTTTATATAGAAATCAACAGTAACAGAGGCTGCCTCTTCAGATGAGTGAGTGAACTAAGAGCTAACAGGGTCATGTTGGACGCTGATGAGGACTCTGTATTTTCTCCTCAGTGGACGATGTGCCAATATCGGTAAATATATTTACACTGTTTCTGGACCTACATATCGTC